TTTGCGTTGTTGTTCAGCAGTGATATATACACGTTTTTTAATAGATGGTGATGATGATTATTATTATAATAATAACAATCATTATTTGTTGCTTGCATGTGAGGAATTTCAGATGTTCCTCTTCCACGAATTTCATAATTTGTAATTGTGGCAGCAGAATAGTTATCATCCATGTTTGATGCTCTTGGTAAGTCAAGAGATGAATTTACGTAATTTTGTAATTGATTTTTTTCTGCCATCAAATTTTTATTTTCTTTTTCAATTTCAAGGACTTGTGATTTCAAATTGGATATTTCATAATTAGCTTGTTCAAGCTCTGCCATCATATTTTGATAATATTGCTTCAGCTCTTCTGATTTGGAAACATTCTCTTGCTTAAGAACTTTGTTTTCTTGAAGCATTTTGTCAAAATCTAACTTTTGCATATCATATTCAGTTTGTACAGTTTCTAGCTCAGTGATCCGTTTTTGAATACTACGCAATTCATTTATTTGATTATCTGAATCTCTTAAACGTTTACGGAGCACACTAAGCTCGGCTACTTGATTCTCCAAGTCTTTATTTCGTTCAAGTAAATCAACAGCATGAGATTCTGATTCACTCATGTGTTGGCAGACTCTCTCAAGTTCTGCAACATGCTTTTCCAAACTTTTAATATGAGGTCTTAACTTTGAAAGTTCAGCAGTTTGTTCTTCGAGGCTTTGATTCTTTCTATGGATTTCTGAAGATTCTTTTGTTTCAGTCTTGAGACGACTGTTTTCTGCTCGAAGAACACTGAGTTCTTTATTGATTAACTCATTTTCTGCATTTCTGCTTGATTGAGCTTCAGACAACCTTTTCTCAAGGTCTTGAATCCTCCTACGTAATTGAATATTGTCCAACTCCTGATTTTTACTTTTTGACTGAGCTGATTCTTGAATTTTTAATCCTTCATTTGAATTTTTCGACTCACGACTCTTTGCAGTAAGATCTTTCAACTGCTTTTCAAGCTCTCCTTGACGATCTTTTATTATTTGATCAATTGATGCACCAGCTTTCAATTGTTCTTGATATGCTTTGAGCTCTTTCAATGATCGTTCAGTTGCATAAAGCTCTGATTTTAAAGAATTTTCTTTGTTCTCCCATGAATTATCATTTTCAGCAAGCTTATGTTGATTTTCATGCTCAAGGGCCGGGAGAAAAAAATATAATTGAAGTAAGTATAGCGATTATCTAAAAAAAAAAAAAAGGCTCATACATTCAAAAAGTAAATGGCAATCATGAAGTGTCTGTATATTAGAAATATTATTTGATTTTTTTTTTGATTTTGAGTAAATTAATAATTATATAAAGTATATATAAATCTATTTAGATAAACACTGATCCAAGTTACAAACAAATGCAAAGCAACAACACAATTGATTCCAAGTATGTCAACAACGTGTCTGCTAAATATATTACAGGTATATATATATATTTATTTATTCGGCAATTCAAAATTCTTTAAAACCAATTTTTTTTTACCATTAAATAAACTATCGTCTAGATTCTTTACCAATAGGACAAAACCCAACAAAAAAAGTATTTCATACTGTTGATATTCAAGATGAACTTGATCCCGTGGATTTAGCAATTCTTACACTTTTGCAACAAAAATATTCACTTACAATCATTTTTCCAGATAATAAAGCCATACCACCACCACCACCTGAATTGAAGCAACTAGTCGATTATTTTATTAATAGAAAGCAAAATAAACAAAATTCAAATTCACAAAGTTTTTCTAAAACTGATTTGGAAAAGTCGTCTTATACTCGTGATGTTGCTTTTACACCAGACAATAAAATTTCAAATATAACCAAACCTGATAATGGTAATGATTATGATAATAATAACAATAATAATATAGTAGAAACAATTACTTTAACACAAGATGTAAATACACCTCAAGATTCTTTGATTAGTTTTGATGATAATACCAATGTCCATGAATTTACGCCTAAATCACAACAAACCAATAAATATAATGATGATGAAATTTTTGGTTTGGCTAAAAGACCTCCTATTATAAATACTATAAATAATCATACACCTGTCTCCGTCAATTCAAGTCATGATAAACCGTTGAAAGATTTAATATCGAATAACAATGTTCCTCAACAACTGGTTATAAAAAGTCCAATAAATGATAATTATGTAACTCCATCAATAAATTCATCTTTTACTGTTGAACCACAAAAAGAAAGCAATTATCCGGCAGAGACTGTCAGCAATCAAGGTTATTGGAATGAAAATGATTCAAATCAAGTGGATTGGACAGGGTCAATTGGACAAAAGGAAAATACAAATAGTGCTCTGAAAAAAGGAAGAATCGATTTTAATCCAATTTATCATGACCGGAGCAAAGGTTTGAAAAAATATATAATAATACATCTTTTTATTTATAATTATAATAGAAAATGTTTTAATGACTTCATTTTTTGCTTTTTAAAAAAGTGATTAATGATGAGTTCAATGGCGTGACAAAACAAGATACTAATGACAAATTAATGATTTGGTATGGTATTTTATATCAATTCAAAAATTTTTTCTAAAAATGAATTTTTTTTATTTAACAATACATATAAATTTATTTTTATTATTTATATAAAAAGTTATAAATGTAACATGTCAGATCATCAAAGTTTGGAATGTCAGGAAAAACCCAACACAGAAATATTATGGAAGAATTTAATTAAAGCTGATACAGATAAAGATTTAGATATGATTAAGAAAATATTTGACGATTACACTAAAGCTGCACCAGATGAAACCTTTCAATCTATGGAGCGTAAATTCAGAGAATCAAAATGTAACGTGAGAATAATAGCTTTGGATCGAGGGGAAGTTCCTGCTGATAAAACTTTAGTTGATATTCAAGGTCATGTAGGTAAAAAATATTTTGCACATATAATGATTGGGCCACCAGCTTGTATTCCAATTGATTGTGGACAAATAGCTCAAGGTGACGGAGAAAATAATTCATGGTTAGCCGATGCAGGCTTTTTGAAAGATAAAAATTCTATTGAAATGTGTATTACTTGTAATAAAAGCGGGCACAGTTCAAACAATTGTCCTAAAATAAAAAAGGAAAGCAATCAAGAATCATTTACATCATTATCATGCCAGAGTTGTGGTTCAACAGGACATACCACTAAATCTTGTAACAGAGGAGTGTATAACAAAGATAACAAAGATGAAGATGATTACTACTACTCTAAATCTCAAGAACCTAAACTCAATAATTTTAATTTTAATAATAATAATAATAACAATGGCAAACTTTGCTATAAATGTGGTTTACCAAATCATATTGCTCGCAATTGTAGTGATGACACGTCAAGATCTAATTCTGAAAGGTCTGAAAGGAGATATTCAAGAAGTAGTAATACTGGTAGTAGTGGTGTTAACAACAACAATAATAATATAGAAAAAGCAGCAACTACTTGGGGAGAAACTGCTAACTTGGATAATGTTGCGGTTTGGTGGAAATAAATAAATTTAAAAAAAAAATTTTTGGATTATATTAACTTAGAATTTATTAATTATTTGTAAAAAAAAAAAAAACAATGGTGTAAAGTTAAAAGAAATAGAATAATATATATGTATGTAAAGACTCAAATTTATTTTTTTAATATGGTGCAAGTCACCTAGTCCCGCAACTTGCTGCGCCTCGCGGCCAATTTTGGGAAAAATCATCAAAACTCAGAAATTGTAAGTTATGCTCAAAAATGCAATAAAATTTTATATCATG